ATATATATATATATATGCTGCAATAAAATCTTAATGTTACTCTCTTTATAGCAATATTAACTAATCGATATTTTCAGAATATTTGGCAGTTTCATTTTGATGATGATAACACTAAAACACTTTCATAACTACACACAGTAAATAATGTCCTCTTATGTGTTCCTTTATAGGATTTATGGAAAAGTATAAGGCATAAGCAATACTATATTAAAAAATAAGTACCCTGTGACCAAATAAAATGGATTTCAAACCTTGACCTTAGTTGGCTCAGGACTACTTTATTTGTTTTCCAAGCTACAAATTTCAGGACCCCAGGGTTGGATATAAATTTAAGGTCCAAAATAATGTACCCTCTGTCCTATTAAGTTGGAAAAGTTATAGTTTACCAAAGATTAGTCCTTCCTGATTCTTTAAAACAATAAAGAGATTTGAAAATGCATTTATTAACCTTTTAAGGTTAATGATTTATCATTCAGCCTGCTTGTCTAGTAACATGTATCATTGGATATATGTATCATCATTTCAATTTCAATTTACTGTATAACTGGTTTTATTGAAAGGATTTGGAGTCTAAATTCATATTTATTGAGAAATTCTATCTTCCTAGAAATTACTGCTATGTTAGCAATAAGACAAACTAACATAGCTTGGTAATTAACCATATTGATTCACACTGTACACTTCATATCTTTGTGTCTTTCTAGAATACTATAATTTTTAGTTTTAAATTACATTTATGAACTAATTACAATAAAGAAGGAAAAATTTTAAACTAAAGGCAAATTTTTAGTATTTAGATAAAATTCTTCCTGTAATTATAGGTACAGTTAGAGAGAAAACTAAAATTCAACAAAATATCAAGTAACCCAATTGTACGTCTCAAGCCACATACCTGACATTGCCCTTGGTGTTTCTGAGAACTGTTGCTGCAAAATTCTGTGTGACACCCACCAAGCTGATTCCATCCACTTCCACAATCTGGTCATTGACTTGTATTCTTTGGGAAGAGGGAAAAAATTACCCACAATTAGTTTTTCCGATAATATATTACCATTCCCAATAAATGAGTTGACAAAATTGATTTTCAAGATACTCTTATTGATTCAAAATTTGTCTCCAAGTTCCAGATCTTAGTCAAAAGCTTAATGTTTTTTAAAAATTATTTTGAAAAACAGAAATAAGCAATAAGTGGAGAGATTCCGTTTATCCAACATCCATACTCCTATCACAAAGAATTGATAACTGCTAATGGATGACATATTTAAACCATATTTTAGCCCATAATAAATCACATAAAACATAACAGAGCCAACTGAAATACCCTTTGGGCCTCATACCTAACCCTCATCCCACCTCTCCTCCCCAAGGAAAAATATCACCAGGAATTGCAGGGAATCCTTCCAATTCAAGTTGTATACTTGAATTATGTAATGCTTGTTAAGTGTATGTGTAAGGCTCATAAGTGTATCTATATAGGTAGATAGATATACACATGTATATAAATGCACATATACACACACACACGCACATACATGAGTGTATGTGCGTGTGTATGTATATTTATTTATGTCTAGGAGCTATATATAGTATTATTGTAGTTTATCATATAATGCCTTTAAAGTTATATACATGTTTTATATATACCATTTTTTATTCCTCAAAATGAAGTATTTCAATCATGGAGAAATGCAGAGGGAATTAGATAATAAACACTCATGTACCCAACACCCAACTTTATCAAATCCCAGCACTGCAATATTTGAGTCAGACTTTTTTCTAAAAACAATATTACAAAAAAGCCAAAGCCCCTTTATTATTTGTCTTCAATTCTATTCCCTTCTCTGCTTCTACAGAAGTAACTATCATTAATTTTGATGCTTAGCCTTTCTACTGATGCTTTGAAATATAAATAATACATACACATGAAGAGGCACAATATGTGTACATCTGCAGTTTTCAAACGTTATGAAATATACCTCTCTTTCTACAATTTAGTTTTCTTCACTCAACATTATATATGAGATTTATCCATGGTTATAAATACAATTCTAGCTAGTTCATTTTATTTTACTTAATTTAATTAAATTAATTAATTTATTTTTTGGATTGGCAGTATTTTTATTCTCTGTTCTGGTAGGTCTAAATAGGAAGCCAACTTAATTCAGAAGTCGATAAGTGATAACCTAGCTAGTTCATTTTAACAAGCATATAGTATTATCTTTCATGAATATTCTAAAATATATTCATCCATTATTTTGCAGATGGGCACTGTATTGTTTTGAATTTTAGCTATTATGAATACTGATGTAATAACTAATTTCATATGTCTCCTTACGTACATGTGTGAGTTTCTCCAGGATATATAGCTAGAAACAGAATTTCTGAGTCAAAGAACACAGGCATTTTCAACTTTGGCAAACGGACACATTTCAGTTCAAAATGCTTATACCAGTGCAAATTCCCAACAGCACTGTAGAGAGGTTCTGAGTCTCTCCACACCCTCACCAATACTTGGTATATTCAGACCCTTTAAATACCACCAAACTTATAATTGTAAAAAGGTATCATGTGATTTTAATTGCATTTCCCCGATTATAGTGCGGTTCAATGTTTTTTCGTAAGTTTATGAGTCATAATGTCCCCTTCTGAAAACTGTTAGAACCTTTTACCAATTTTTGTTGAGTGTTTTTTCTCATAGATTTATATAAGATGTCTTTATCTTGTATACTAACACTTCCTTAATTAAATATGTTGCAAATATCTTTGGCCCAATCTGTAGGTCATCTTTTCACATTTTTGAGGGAAATGGTGGTTTTAAGAAGAACAGTTTTTAAAAATATAATCATATTTTTAATTTTGGCTTTATATTAGGTAGTTTTTGTGTTTTGTTTAAGGAATCCCTTTCTGCCTCAAGGTTATAAAAACATTCTATATTTTCTTTTAAAGGTCTTAGATTTTGCTTTTCTGCATTTTTAGTTATCCACCTGTAAATAATTTTTTATTATGATATGTGTTAACAATCTTCTTATTTTTTCCAAGTATATAAACAATTGGGTTAACAACATTTAATAGTCCACTTTTTACCCACTGAGTTGCAGTACTGCCCCGTCAGGTTTCAAATGTGCATCAATGTAGTTTCTACTTGACTGTCTATTTTTGCACACTTACATTGTTTCATAGGGTAATTCATAGGGTAATTCCCTTTACCTAGTTCATTGTCTTCAAAATTTTCTGAGCTCTTCTTGGGCTTTTTCTTTTCATAGTTTGTTTTGGATTTACTTGCCAAATTCTCTAAAAACATTTTTTGGAGTTTTAATAAAATTATACTGATTTCTAAGATTAGTTTGGGAAAAACTGAATCTTTATCATATTGATTCTTCCCATCAATAAAAATTAATTGCTACTATAATTATCTTGAGCAGATGTTGTATATATCACATGCTGTTGCTATGTATTAAGAAAAGTTATTTAAAGCTTGGAAATAAAAACCAAAGGAGAGGCAGTATGTTGTTTCAATGTCATGTACATACATTATTAAACAGGCCCAACCAAGGATAATTTGGGGGAATGTATTTTAATTGATCTACTGTTTTTAAAATTGATTAAAAGTCTTAGACATACTAAAGTAGAACGTTAATTTGTAGACTTTTGTCCTAAATAAAATCAGATACTTTTCTTCTGTTATTAAAGATAATCCCATAGGTCATGGTTTATTTCCCTGTAGAATATTAACTGGCTTTGTATCTATCTTAGCAATGTTATTCTAACATTACTTTATTAACTTGCATGTAAACACCTACTCCTAAAATGTTCTTTGAACCACACTTACCATCTCACTGGTTCTCTCATTAATTAGTGAGTTGTATAAAGTCTGATACATGTACGTTTTATATTTATGAAAGTCATCTGTTAAACTCTGAATATTAGCCTGTAATAGCTTTGGAGTTTCCATAAGAGGCCAGAGTGGATTCACAAAACTAATTCAATTGTGTTACCACAGAAATGCATTCACGGACTTTTGTTTTGTCCCCAGAGTTAGTCTAAAGCAGCAACAGAACTTTATCTTTGCTATCATGTTTTTTTCTAATTCAGTACTTTTGACTTTTTTTTTCTTGGTTCTTCGCCATGTTGGTTCTGGACCTAGTTTGTACTAGATAACAGCGACATCAACAACAACAACAACAATAAATAATTCCCCATTGGTAGAAGAAATGACTGGGAGTGTAATTTCATAATCTGACCATTTGAGACTTCTAATGGGATTATGGGGATCTGTTATCTCCCATGTAAGAGAAGATAAAGAATTTGAGTTGCTATCCTTTAATTTCTTTGTCTATTTGTGATCTCAAACTATTTCATTAAAAAAAATTCATGAACACTAGAAAGCAAAAAGCCCTTTGAATCTTGACTAGTGAGTTTTTTGTTTCTTGGATTACTTAACCTGTTTCTGAAGTTGCAGAACTGAGGCTACAAATTCTCTGTGCTGCTGTAATTGAGAGAACCCATGATCTCACTGTGTGCGTATGAAGTATGTTCCTAACTTAGAAGGGTATTAATAAACTAAATTATAAAGCCTCTTAAATTAAAGGAGCGATAATCTAATTGGTTCATAGAGAATAATAAGCACTTTCATAAATCTTATATTTTAGTATCTAATGAGAGTTTAAATGTGCTAGACGTTTAAGAAAAAAAATCCTTCTTGGAGATTCTGCTAGAAGCTCAGAAGTATTTTCATATAAGAGACCAAGTTCATGTAATAAAAGTGAGTCTTTGGACAAATAAGACTAACTAAATAATTTTGGTTTAAAATACCTATCTATGTTTTCTCCATGATTTTGTAAAGGTGTGGGTTTGTATTTTTCTGAAGAGACCAATTAATCTGAACTTCCTAAAATTCTGATACAAATACTGATCAGATAAATTAAGTACCCCTACATAAAGTTTAAAAAGCATAAAAAATATAAAATTGTGCTCAACTAAACTGAATCATAATAGTAACAAACTTTTATATCAATGGTAATTATGTTTTATAGAGTGTCAGCTTAAAACATGATTTCCAAGATTCTTAGTTATTTCCAAAACCTTGGTCATAAAGCTTTTAATATATACAACTCTCCTTATGTTAAAATGTTACAAAGTTAATATAACTTTGCATCATGTTAATGCACGTGTTTATTCCTGCACTTTAAGAATATGTAAAAATAGTACACGTGGCTGTAGAAAATTGTATTTGTTAGTCGCTAAATTGTGTATGATAGGTGATTATTATCAACTTCCTATCTATGAGTGAAGGTTGCTTCTAGAAGGTGGTTAGGCAGACTATGAGTTAAATTTAAAATGAGTAATTAAGACTATGCTAACAGCAATGCGATAGAAAAAAAAAATGAGTAGGTAAGGTAATGGAATGAATTTCTGTTTTTCAAGAGAATGAATAGCAATTTAGTCCAAAAGTATCAGCCTGTTTTAGAATATGAAAGAACATAATGAAGATCAAAACTTGAGTGTGCGGAGAAAGCTGAGGAAGGTTTAAAGAAGCGATTTTTATTTACCTTGGTTTATACCATGTGGGGCCAGAAAGATGCTATAAAATGTGCTGCATTTTGACAAACTTTTTTTTTTTTGGCGGTACGTGGGCCTCTCACTGTTGTGGCCTCTCTCGTTGTGGAGCACAGGCTCCGGACGCGCAGGCTCAGTGGCCATGGCTCACGGGCCCAGCCGCTCCGCGGCATGTGGGATCTTCCCGGACTGGGGCACAAACCCGTGTCCCCTGCATCGGCAGGCGGACTCTCAACCACTGCGCCACCAGGGAAGCCCAAAACTTACTGAGTTTTGAAGGACTTACTCAAAATATAATTTAGAAGAAAAGAGTGTAGTTCTTCTACTACCAGAGTTACATAGAACGAGTCAATTCCTTTCTCCATGATAGCCCTTCATATATTTGAGAACTGCTAATATGTTCCTCTATTAGGGGTAAAGGAAGAGAAGGACAGTGAAGAG